TATTGCCTCAGTCCTCTAAAGTAAACTTTTAAATGCCACTACTACAGACAGAAAATAGCATATTATCTCTCTTCCCTATTATATTTTTTCAGTTTGCATCCTAACATTCATAGACAAATTTCTGTGGAGCAAGCACTGTTAGAAGAACTCGAGAAGGGCCACCATCATTTTTTGATTAGGACTACACATTTGTCATAATTCATCATTTTCTAATTACTGGCAGCCACTCAATCAGAAAACACACAGCCAGAATGCTTTGTAAAATGCTAGATAAACCCTTGAGCAATGAGAACTGATAAATATGCATACAGACAGTTATATCTATGTAAGTCAGTAATCTTAACTAGAACATCAACCTACTGTTAATTAGGATATACTCTTATGCTATGGTCATAACTGATGCCTTTGACATTGACTCCAGAGTTTGAGGTCATATGTTGTTTGTAACAGTTTTTAAAAGTATGTGTTAGATCATTCTTGTGGTAACTGTGCCATCATGTAATGGTTATGTAATCAAATTACAATCATATCCATTACATGATGGTGACTACAATCATATCCATTACATGATAGTAGAGTTAACACAAGAATTATCTGTCACAAACTTCATTGCAGTATATAAAGGTGTTGCATTGCATAGCCCAGATTGGCCTTGAACTTATTGTGTAGCTACAGATGGTCTTGAACACTTGATATTTCTGATTCCACCTTTTACCATGCCTGATTTAGTCAGTGCTGGGGCAAGTCCACTCTATGCAAGCACTCCATGAACCAAGCTACATCTCCACTTTTAAAGTATTAATCTGAGGTATTTTGTCACTTTTGATGAAAATTTAACTAACACAATGACTAACAAGTTTTCTGAAATGTTTGATTAAATAAAACTAACTTTGTCATGTTGATGTTCTTCATGTTGATCTGAGGGACTCTTATTTGATAGTTTATCTATCAAGATGGTGGTTATTTTTGGTGACAGAAAATACTGTTCTTGAAAGTCATTGTCAATTGTCAGTTGCTAGTGTACCATTTATAAGCACCCTGGGTTGAACACTTGTGCATCACAAAGCCATGCCCCCACTTAACCCACTGAGAAACACTGGCTAGCGTTCCTTATTTTCTCTTCTCACTTTGGGAAATAAGATAATATACCAAGCGCCATACTTTGCCTTTCTCAGCATTCATGTCAGTATGCTTTGTCTAGAAAGAATCTCTTGAGTTTTATTTGGACAAGGGCAAAGTGTTCTTTCCCAGTAACAGTTGCACCTGGGGAAGTCGCAGTACTCCCAGTTGTCACAAGTTAGATTGCAATTTATTACCAGGAGTTTTGGCATCATAGAGCTCAGACTAGTTTGACTTGTTTATCTCTGGGGGTCTCTGTTAGTCCATGCTATTAGTCTGGGGCTTCTTTACTTTTGGAAAGTAGTTTGGAAAACCAATCTTATATTTGAAATTCTGCTTTACAATTATGTGTTGGGCTGTATTTTCTTTATTTGGACATCCATGTTCCTTTAATTTCTGATTAATATCAGACTTTCAAAACTGCTCAAGAGTTGTTGTAACTCAGTGGTACATGTCAACATCGAATGTTCTAAGGCAATTATTTTCTTTAGAAAATCTATGATATCTTGCTTGCATATTGTAGAAGAGGTTAGATGCATATATTTAGTCTGAGGTGATCAATTCATTCCATAGTTTGAAAAATTTGTGCATGTTTGTCCTCTAGATTATTTGGTAAAATTGTATTTTGTTTAAGCAAAATAACAATTGTGTATATAATTTATAATGTAAATATCACATATATATCATATATATATTTATATGACTAAAAATCTGCCTGCTGCATTAAGAGGGCCACAACATATACACACTTATGATAACATTTATAATCTAGAAACAGTCATTCCTATTATTTTGATATAGAAATGGTTAGTCTATTCTCATTCATTCAAGAATATGAATGTCTTGAATTTCTGTCACATAGCTCCACATATATATATGTGCATATACATATCTTTGAGTTGAAAATTTTATAACTTGGATTTTTCAAGTTATACCATAAACGTGTTTCTCAATGTCTGATAGAATTTTATTAGTGACATCTTTTATCTTGCAACACATTTTTCTTGTTTATCTATTGCCTATCTTTCTTCTAGTTTTCTGTTCATAATCATAGAGCTATCTCTTTCTGTACTTCCATGGTAGTATCGCTAGAATAAATAAATAGCTCTTTATAACCCAAAATTACAAAGAAATTATTTTTTTTACAAAGCACAACACTTTGATATGGTATGGTAGAATGACTTGTTTTACAGAGTATTAAGTAAAATCAGCCTCTTGGATCTTTTGTCAATTGAAAACTTTCACAAAACAGAAGCAAGACAAAACAAAAACAATGGTTCCCTATTATAAATGGCTGGTCTGCTCCATCATCTCCTTTCCCAACTCTCCCAATTCTCATTTTCATCTTGGGGCTGATGACTTCCTTGTTTGGATGTGATTGATATCAAGCTCCAGAGTGACCCTAGGTTCTTGTGTCCCCAAACAAGGAACTAAGCCAAGATACACAGTTGGATCAGAAACAGAGATTATTTTCTTGCAGAAAATAAAACTTCTGAGGGCGGAAATGAGCTGGAGCAGAAAGAAAGTTTATCTACTTAAAGGAATCGGCTCTTTGACTCATTGGCACAGCACAGACTTTTCTCGCATGTTCTAGCATGTTTTAGTATTATAGTAGCTTTGGGGGTAAAGGGCAAGCCTGGTGCTATACAAAGGAAAGCACAAAAAAGTGAAAGTAGATTTTTTTCTTTAAAAGGAATGTGTCAGAAACCAGACTGTACTAGCAAGCACAATGTGTCAAAATGGCCTTTGCCTCCTACCCTGACACAGGTTAGTCTCCCCACAGTTGAGGGAGCTCAACTTCACATTCTGATGAGACTGGGTAATCTGCATGGTGGAGAGGCAGGATTTGGGACCTTGTTGACTTCCTACCTTTGATACAAAACAACAACAATGGCAACAAATTGTTTCCCATTATTACAAGTTGCCTTTGCAAATTCTGGAGTACCTCTGCTACTGTTAGGAGTAGCATCTGCTCTTTTCTGACGTTTCTCCATATTCTAATTTTGTAAGGCTTTGCATAAGGCTCTCTGGAGCTCACCCTCTGTCCTATTTACCTACCAGGTAATTAGGACAAGATTCTAACTCTAACCTACCCACCATTATCTTTGGCGCTCTTCATCTCTCTTCCCTTTCACCAAAGACCACTAGGAACATACATACCCTTCATTATTTGGATGCTACATTTATTTTAATGCAGAGAAATACATCATGGAGAGCCACGAGGTATCTCAGTACACATATACTCAGTACACATGATCCTAAAATTGGACTGGTGTTGTGTGAGCTGCCGAAGAACCAAACAGACAGGACAATAGCTTGCTTGTGCCAGGAAATGTCACAAATGTTTGGATAATTGTTCTTTCACTCCACGGTGAGAAGATTGTTTCCCTGAAAAACATAAATCTACTTCCTCTTTAAAAGGCCCCAATGATGACAGTTCGAAGGCTAGAAAATCCCAGACAAACTGGAAAGAGTGGCTGGTCCCATCTGAAGGCAGAAGAAAAGACACTACTCCTGGAACTGAAAGAAGTAGCAGGACTAGAGAGGATTCGTCATCTTTGCTGAATGGATACTGTGCTGGTGTGCAGCATGATCTTGTCTCTGTCTTTATGATAGTGGAGTAGCCTTGTCTAGAGACACAAAAGTGTTGTTTCTCATGCGTGGCTTCCTCCTAGACAGGCAAACTCTTTTCACTTGCCCAAGCCAATTTCTGTAGTGACTCCTTTTTCTTTTGCAATCCCCTTTGAGGTGACCATAAAAGCTACAGATGTCACCTCATTCTGAGAATCTTAATTTCAACCATATGGTCTGAATAAAGACACTATGAGTTTTGAAACACTGAGTAGTTTTTTAAAAAGTTCATTATTTGACACATTTTTCTCTCCATTGAGAACAATGCTTGAGTAATTGAGACTAAATGCTGTTACTACATGCTAAACTAGACAAACACCAGTTACTTTACCCCTCTTTAAGTTTTTAAATTCACACTAATATGCTTCATTATTGCTATAATTCCCATAAAGAATTCGTTTGAATTGAACCACTTATTTTCATAAGACGCTTAAACATTTTCATGAATACCCATATTTCATTATTTTTATTTACATATGTGTATATACATCTATGTAAGTATGTGTGCATATGTGTGAGTGTCCAATGAGACCAGAAGAAGTTGTCAGATTCTCTGGAGCCAGAGTTATAGGCAGTTGTGAGCTGCCTGATATGTGTGCTGGAACTAAACTTGAGTCCTCTGAAACAGCAGTAAGGACTATGACCTTCTAAGTCACTCATGCCAGCACTGTATTTTACTATTAAATATAGTATCTAGTGGTATTTTACTTAATAATTGTTTCATAATTGTATTTTAGCTCAGTCTGTTCTGGAATTCATTATGTAACCCGGGCTGGACTGGAACTTGTAGCATAGATACCTTTTTCTCCTTGCAAATGCTGGCATTACAGGTATAATAGCCATTCCCAGCTTATAATCAGTATTTAAAATTAGAATATTTATGTATATGCATATATACATATATATATATATGTTAGTACTCTGGCTTAGATTGCTCTAACTGAAGTTTTTCTTTATAAATTTTAAGGTAAATAAATTTTCTTATATTCCATTGGTTTATTAACAGCAATAGAAAAATGTGACATTCAGAATTTCTGTGAACATTTGACCAGCAGATGAACATATAATCAAATAGCTGATGTGATTTGGTCATAAGTGCTATAATAGTAGTCAATAAATATTATTTTATGAATATGGTGCTTATTTCAACTACCCTGGACTCAGCTTCTGCAGTTATGATGTCTATTCCACAGGAATTTTTTTATAGTGGGTAAAATGATAAAAACCTGTATTCTTGAAATTTTTCTCAGGTTCTGAAGACTATCTTGAGGTCAGCATTCCAACAGAGCCAAGAGCAAAATATTCTGAGGAGACAAGAGGACAGGAGGAGACTGATGACCCAGAAGCTTCTGCAGTGTCTGAGCCTCTGGCCCTGGTGCTGCCTGAGGAAATTCCATGTGAGGTCAGTGGTGACAGCCTTTATTACAAGCCCTGTTGCTTTCATAGACACTGAATTTCACTGTGATGTGACTGGCAATTAACCTAGTATTTTGGTTTACTATTTTTCACAACAACAGTGTCAGAACCTAGAATAATATCTAGCACCCAATAGGCATTTACTGTATATTTGCTAACTAATTGGACATTTGAGAATCTGTAAATGCTTAAATTTATTAAACGTGACTTGACACTTTAAATGATACATACATTCTACATATATTAAGCTACTGAATAGAATTTAAAATCACTTATTTCTGAGCACCTTTTTAAAATTATAAATGTACTGATGAATCATCATTACAACAAAACGTCATATCACCTGGAAGAATTAATCTCTCAAGAATAAGAATGCAGTTAGAAGGAGGATTTGGAGAAAGCAACAATATAGGAGCATTTTTGATGTTTATTCTCCCATGCCTTTTTTGGATTGACCCACTAAAATAAACCACTTGTAGAGTTTTAGCCTCATTGCTAGACCTCAATATCTCTGGTGTCCTTGGGTGGGAAGGGGAGCTGTATAGAAGAGTCTTATGGGAGATGTATGAAAAGGTACTTCTGGAAGAAGCGAGCAGATTTATACAACCTGACATCAGGAAGTCTCTGATGACTGCTGATGGTTGGTCCCCAACCCTGTGGTCAGAGAAACCAAACATCCTGTAGGGTTGCTAAAGTTTAAATCCCTTACTTCCAACCTACAAAAAGTTAGAACAGAAGTATTGCTTTTACAACTCACTTTACTGTCAGTTCTAGAGGAAGGAAATCCACTCAGACACTACCACAGAAATGCCAGAAATTTGAACCGTATACTTTTGAGATACCAAACATAGCTGCCCAGCAAAGATCACATGAGTCAAAGAAAAGGTAGCTTAAGTTGGGGAGAAAAAAGATGAAGAGCCAAAGCTGGCAATTCCTATGGCATCAGAAATAATGGAAGAAACAGGAAAGAACTGTAATAAAAGCAATGTGATCTAGTCTCAAATAGATGAAATCAAAGTAGGAAATGAAATAACTCTAAGTAAAAATAGCTCCCCGGCAGTTATGCAATGAGTCTAAATAGCTACTTTTAAAAATATCTGCAACAGTAAAAATTTGAGCATTATAAAACCCTCCCCTTATTAATCACAGAAAAAATTGAAGTCCAATAGCAAGTTTTGGTTTTCCTTAGGCAGACATACCTTATGCAGATTACAAGTCAATGGTCTTTTCAATAAAGCAGTCATGGGTTTTTAAAATTTTTTATGGATATGGATAGAATTGTTCAGGCCTTATAAAGTTAAATTATTTCAATATCAAATCCATCTTGAGAACTCCACTTTCAAAAAACTCTAGAAGTTAAGAGATCATATAAAATATCTTAAATCCTGCATTATGCTCAACATTTTAGAATAATTTCATCCTTTGGACCAAAAATAGTTATCCCAGATGAATCTTGGGCTCTCAGTAAGCAGATCTTCATACAGTCTGAATCCATACATTGCTGGCAAGCTCCACACAAAAGACCATTTGGTTCCAGCTGAGTGAAAATTGTGTTTCTGATTCCCCTGGAAAATGTTCAGTACATGCCAGTTGTCTGAAATGACAACCTTTGAACTTCCCCACATTTCTGAGAAGTCTTCTTGTTAGCAGTGGGCAAAGACCAGAGAGAAATGTCTCTTCCCTTTAAAAAGTAACAACAGAGCCATCTCAGGAATCCTAAAAGTTACAGAACTGTAGGGAGAGATCCTAGGTACCTGTAGTGCTGACCACACCCACTTGGACATGGTTGCAGGTACTTAGAAGATGCCAGAGATAAAGAGCTAAGAGGAAAGGGATTCACTCTCTTGGGGTTCTGGTTGGGTCTCAGAGAGCAGTGAAGCTCTGACCTTGGCTTCTCCCTAAAAAAATATATCATATGGCATACCTACCTTGTGTAGGTTAATCTTCCTGGATACAGAACTTATCAATGACAGTTTCTAGCTAATTGGAAGTGGGCCTTATTCATCTGGCACTGTCAAAACCAATGCTGTAGTTGTGTGTTTCCATCACGCTGATTTGACCATGTGTTCAATGGGGATACAATCTTCCTTCCCTATGATGAGGGCTAGTTTGGCTCCCTCCCACATCGCTCCTTGCTGTACAATTACTGGGTCTGTGGACCAGCCTCCTGTGGCATTTCTGCTCACTGTCTGCTCTTGTTCTGCAGAAGCAGCTTTTGTAGGTTGCTCACTGAGGCAGAGCTTTAAGCTCTTGGCTGCCTGTGATCTTAGGAGCTGGAAAGTATTGATCCTTCTGCTGCATAACCATAACCTTTCCCAGACCTTTCTTTCCACAGATTATCAATTTCCTAAACCTTGATAATCTTGTGCTGCTTCAAAAACATGAGGAAAATATTATTTTTCTCTTTAGCATTGATCCCTTGTTCTATTTATAAGGGTTATCTATTCCTAACTCTTTGAGAAATAAGTAGGTGTCTTCTTTGTAATCTTAAACCTGATTGTTAATAAAGCCTTTCTTTTAGTGTCTATGAGATTGCATACTTTGTTCTGTTTTAATATTCTAAGCCTCTTTTACTTGTTTATTGGTCAGGATACTCTGGATTTTGTATTGTGGAGTCACAAATCATAGGCAATGTGATGTTAGGTCTGCCAAAAGTATCCATACTTCAACCAGCACATCCATTTTTAACCTTCCTGATGAACTCTACGTGGAAGGCGTTAGCTTAATGATGGCTTCTAGACCAGCATATGCTGTCCACTGCTTCGATGATGTGACTCTATAAAAGTCTTTGAAGCCTGGTGGTGGTGGTGTACGCCTTTAATCCCAGCACTCGGGAGGCAGAGGCAGGCGGATCTCTGTGAGTTCGAGGCCGGGCTGGACAGACAGCCTCCAAAACAATACAGAGAAACCCTGTCTCGTAAAACCAAAAAAAAAGTCTTTGGCAGATTCCTATGGAGTAGAGGTTCTTCACTGGGAAGAGTTTGCCTTTCTTTATGTGGGGAGATGAAGGCAATAGTACAAGCACCTCTGGTTATCACAGTTGCTACTGACATCTAGTTGATAGAAACACTGAAGCTGCAAGCATTACATAATGCACAAGGCATCCTCATGGCAGCAGCTTATCCAAAGTAGCAATCCTACTAAAGTTAAATCCTGTCTCTGAGTGTACACCTACAACAAATGAGTCACCCTCATTTTTGCTTAATGGTGGCATCAAGAACTCTGGCTCCTTCCTGTGGTTTCTGTGAAGTTGGAATAGTTGGTCTGTAGTCACTTTATGAGAGATGCCTGATCTTTGGTAGTGATTCCATTAACGCCTTTCACACATTTTACACAAAGCTTCAGAAGCACTGCAGAGTCTATTCCCCAAACCCTCACCTCTCCTGCTATTTCTGAGCCCCTATAAAGGATTTGGTAAGGATGTGTCTGTTTCCTTTTGCAGAAGAACCAACCTCAAGTCGAGTTAAGATTCTTTTCTGCATCTTTTCTGTGTGGAAGATGCTTCATTTATCACCATCCTTCATTTTTCCAATTCTTTCTCTCCTATTATGAGACAAATAGGTGTCAACTATAGAAGCCTGTGCAGTAATTTACCAAGTCCCATGAACCTATCTTTCATGAGCTGGTATCTTTTAAAGTAAAGTAGTTATGGATGTGTGAAAAAGCCTTGGTCATGTTCAAAAGCCTTAATGAGCTAACAGTGACCTACTGGGATATCAATCTTCTATCTGTGTTTAAACTTCAGCCCAAAGATCCAAGGAAAACACACTACATATTATGTATTATTATAGACCAAATTGCACTAATTTTGTTGAAATCTTAAGTTTTGTGAACAGTACAGCAACTTCTAAAGTTTATTAATAGTAATAATTATAACCCATTCTCTCTATTAATTCTTAGACCCCACAGTAAGAGGCACAAACACAGGAGTGAAAAACATAAAGCACTAAATAACTGATAAAAACACGTTGATGATGTATGAGCATCCTAAAGCTTTCTCCCTGAATCAAATGTTCCCATGTAACTAAAGACAGATCTCCTTTCCTGGGTTAAGCTGTTTACTGCAGGGAGATGCAGGTGTAAGCAAAGACCATCCTGGAGGGTAGTAAGGACTAGAGTCCAGCATACTCTATTAAAAGATGCCATGGTTTTATAGAAGTATTCCATTTTAATTATTAGAACATCAGAGGATCTACTACGTTCATAGTGCTCAGAAGATGTAAGAACGATATAAACATTTTAAAGTGCTATCAGAGCATTTTGGATGAGGAGAACTAACGAAGAATAGTTAGCTTGGCTTGGTCACGGCTGGATGCAGATATAGATGTGCATAAGTTGATGCTTATTGGAAAGGTCTACGATTCTTGTAGGCTAAAGTTAGAGAGAGGATACTGTACAACCTGACTTGGACTTTGGTGGAAGGCATCACCTTTAAACAAGGCCAGCTACTTAGCTTGCAGTGCAATATGAAAATGCAAAGCCCCTTGGTTCAAATTAGTTAGCATTTCAAGGCAATGACAGCAGAACATTAAACTAAGGGCAGGACTTTGTAAACCCCATGTGACTGTGCAGGTCTCAAACCTAAGAAGCCAGCTCAGGGTACAAATGAAGATGCAGGTACTTTATTTAGGGAGTCTTCTGTTGGAATTTTTTATGGCAATGGTTGAAAGGTGGAGTTCTGCCCTCTATTAAGGAGGGAATCTGGTGCATAAGAAGCAGCATACACGGGGTTGCTCATGAATGAGAATGAGTTGTCTTAGAGAATAAACTTTTTGGTGAGCACACCTGTGCTTACCCAAGTCCAATAGGGTCAAACAAGGAGTGATGTAGGCATTGTAAAGAACTCCATGTTAGAAGGCAATTAAAAGCTGTTGGAGACCAGACACAAAATGAGATTTGAAGTCATTGGAGTTGAGATGACAGACGTGAGGCTGTTAGGCATGTACAGAACAGATGGGACCATGGGATTGTGTTCCTTGCCTGCTGCCACTGTACATGATCCAGGGGCAGGAACACAGTTTCTGTTAAGGTGGGACCTGTTCTCTGTGTATAGTTGATAAAGAGAAATGTAAGTCAAACCTGGATAAATATCTGGGGTGTGACTGTGGTGGACAGTGGCTAAAGTGGACCGGAGCATCAGATAAGTGATTGATAGCATTACATACCACTTCCTGAGAGGCCTGGGTATAACATGTTACGATGTAAGTCTTATAAGTGTGTGGTTTTGCTTAAAGTGATGATACTAGAGTAAGAAAACTTTAAAGGAATGGCTTTATAATAAATATGATATCGTGAAGATATATCAGCAAGTTTCCTATGTACTGTCAGGGTGAAATTTACTATTACAACAGCATTTGAGAGATGATATACAAGACAGTCATAAAATATTTTACATTTCACAGAGTCAGATAGCATAATATAAGGGACAATGTGGACTTGAAAGTTAGATAATTCTTAACAATTTTTTAAATGTAAGCCTAAATTGCTCTGCTTATGAACAGCAACAGCCTTCTCCATTGCAGTTCTGGTGTGTGTGTGTGTGTGTGTGTGTGTGTGTGTGTGTGTGTGTGTGTGTATCTGTGTTTTTCAATAAGGGTTCAAGGAAATATTTTTACATAAAAATTATTTACCATAATTTCTATAAAGTAAACATCCAACAATGATTATCAATTCCCAACCTCTATATTAGCTTCACTCTTCCTGATTGTTATATTTTTCTGGATATAGTTCCCAAAATGTGGTCTTCCTACTTTTACCTCTGTTCACAAATCAAACTTCTCCAACATAATTAGATCTTGAAATTTTCAATTGTGTAGCTGCAGTCAACTCAGAAGCCTTAATGGGCCCTTATATAAGCAAAGAATACCCAGAGTACTACTTCATGGACTATGGAACTATACAACATTAATATTTCTCATTATATTTTAATTGTAAGAGGTCTTAAAGTTACATTTGTTAAGTTTTTATACACAGAGAGAAATTGAACTGATACTGTTGCCAAGGTCAAGGTAATGTACATGTAAAGGAATTTCTCAGTGGCTTAATTACTGTCAATTTGTTAGTCTGTCAAAAGGGTCTGGTACCCTGAGATGGGGAGCAATGTGCAGGAAGAGCCAAGGGTAAAGGAAGCAACTGTGTTCTCACTGATTCTCAGTTGCAAAACATGGTGTGGGCTGGAAGAGAATTTGATAGATATCAAAGGAATAAATGTAAAATTCAACGAGTCCTGCATCTATATATTTATATATTAACATAGTTGAAAATATAAACAGGATAAACTTATTTACCAACAGTTTAAGATTTTGACCACTAATAAACATGGTGGCCACCTTGGTAGAGGTCAACTCTTTGGCATGCTTAACCTATACATTTGTATATTACAGAATCCTGGTGAGATATTCATTCTGTTGAAAGATGACCTGATTAGTGAAATTCTGGAAGTTGAATTTATATCAACCAACAAGTGCCTCAGAACACGGCCAGCACGTTGGAGTAAGAGTGTCTGGTGTCTGAAAGCTGCAGGTGAAAAATTTTGTGTTTAACTAACAATAAAACCTCTCCCAGAGTTCCTTTCCTGTGATTTATGATAAATAGTTTCACTTCCCTACAGAAACTGGGTTTGTTCTGCAGGTGCTTCCTGTGTTAATTCTCACATGTTCAACATTGTTATTAATCTGATTTGCAAAAGTGAGATTGTGTAAATCCTTAGAACTTGGTTTGTATACCATTTAGGGAAATGGCTGCCAGTAACATCAAACATCATTAAATATGTCAGTGGAGAATACACTGATATATAGTAGCTATTAAATATGGAATTAAAATCATTTCCTTTATGCAGCATGAGGATTCACAGATTTTTTTTAATTTTTATTAAAGAACTTTGTTTCCTTTTTTTTTCTCTATCCAAGTCTTGAAAAGTTTTGGCTGTTTTATAAAGCATAATACTTTTTCAGTGTTTTCTAGTCATGGTACCATTTCTCAGATATTCCTTTAATCATCTTCTTGTCTCATTGGTGAGGCTATTCATTTGATCACTCTTAGTTGCTTGCTCCATACTAAACTATATTGGATTCCCAAAAGCCAGTTTGAGCAGTGCATAACTCCTTGTGTTTCCAGCTCCTGGGGATCTGAAACCCTCTTTTGGTTTCCACAGGAACATATCCACACACATGCACTAATTAAAAATAGAGAAAATGGATGTGTTTAAAATATAGGAGTACTTATTTTTTTTGTTTTATGGCATGATTTTAAAATCAGAGCACAAAGTTATCACGTAAAACTTCAAAAACTGTGAACTATGTAAATATTTTTATATAAAAGATATTAATCTTATGAATATGGAAATAAAAATATTTACAATTGCAAAGTATGTTAAGTACACCCAGAGTTCATTATGCAGTTTATTTATATTTTCAAGCCAGCATTACTTATTCACATGAGTAGGTCTTCCATGGCTTCCTCACTCAGCTGTCACTGGAGTTGGGTTCTCAGAAGTTAAAGCCTTTATTCCAATAATTGACGATCATTGAGGCACTGTTTCCTGTTGTAGAGAGTCATGCAGGATGTGATGGGAAGAACCCTCTCCATCTCTCTTTCACTTTCTTGTTCCCAGCCCCTGTCATCTTATGCCACATTCTTAAATGATGCAATGAATAATACCCTCCAAATAGTTAGTTTCAGAGTTCAAACTAACTCTAATTAAAATAAATCAATACAGAAACATCAATATTGCAAAGTAAAGAAGTACCTATTTAATATTTCCCAAGTAGCAGATCAAAATTACCAAATAAAAATACACATATTACTTACGATTATTTTTTGCTTGATATACCTAATGCGCCAAGAGGCACAGAAGGAAAAAATACACAGAAGTTCCTGAAACAATCTGAGGAACGTATTTTAAAAACATTCTAAGACATTAAGATGAACTAAGGTTTTTTTTGGTATAAGATAATTCAAAGTGTAAGAAAGAAATGAAAAATATAGACAAATGAAAAAGTATTTTTAAAAACCTTCAACACACCAAGGAAATAATTGACATGGTTAAGATATGGCTATAGAAGGGAAGAAAGTATTTGCAAACTATTTGATGAGAGAGTAATACCCAGTATAGGAACCTCAATAACAACAGAATAATCCTATTATTTCTTGTGCATTTTGATGTTTTTTTAATTTTAGTATTTTTATTTGCCTGTTTCTTTCCTAAAGAGAAAGAAAGGAGGCACACAGCTGAATGAATGGGGAGGTAGGGAGGAGATGGGAAAGAGAAAACTGTGGTAAACATATATTGTTAAATTTTAAGTTAAAAAAGAACAGGAAAATCTTATAAATACATACTTAAAAGAAGTAATCAACAAATATGTGGCAAAATGCGCAAAATTCCCTAATCATAGGGGAATACAATCACACCATCATGGCTCATCATCTCAGTATATCATAATAGTTGTTACCAAAAAGACAAAAATTAACAAATCCTAAGCAGGAGTGGAGAAGAGAACTCTTGCATTGTTTTAGAGTGTGTAGCAGCACAGTGTTATGGAGAGAAAGCCTTTCTTAGCAAACTGAAAACAGCATTGCCATCTGATCCTGCAGTTCGGAACCAGGGACACACACCAATGGAAAAAAAATAGATCTATGAAGGAGGAACCTGCACACTCATACCAACTGCAGAACTGTTCATAATTGCCAAGGAATGAACTCAACCTCCATGAACATTAACAGAGAAATGTGTACAGAAAACGTGTAATTTATATAAGAATCCATGTGAAAATTATTCAACCACGTAAGAGATGAAATCCTGAGTTTGTAGGAACTTGGATGAAAATGACAAACATGAAGTGAAACAGGCCATTTAGAGGAAGACTGATGCCACAAAGTGCCAAACTCATTTGTGGAATTTGAGCTGATTTAAATCCTGCGTAAATTGAATCAAAAATTTTTAGCTTCTCATAAGAGATAACACCACTACCACATGTTTTCAGCTGGTAGCAATGCAAAGAAAATCTAATACTATATTTATTGATGCTCAGAAGGGCAGAAATTCTCCAACTTCTTTCCCAGGTACCCTCTTTCCCGTTACCCCACTTCCACACTGCAGTCTGAGTTTTTTTTACCTGCACGAATACCCATTTAGTTTTGTGAAAGCCCCTCCCTAATCCTTCCAGGTCAATAATTGATGTATCTATAATCACTTGGTTTTTCCAGGGATCAAAATTTTCCTAATGTTATCTATGGCTAAGACAATTTGAATTTACAAAAGTTCCAGCTTACAGATAAGCCTTAAAAGCATGCTAAAACTTTCAACTAGAAATATTAGCTAATTTCTTTGTAGAAGAAACCGAGTATTTCTCTGATGCCAGAAATACCATGAGGAAACAAACATAAAAGCTGGGAGAAGTACAATTAAAAGTTGAAAGAATGTGTAACACATGAACAAAAATATTGACCCTCTTTATTAGTGATGAAGCTGTGGTCTAGATAATATAAATTATAGCTTATTATCTCTTGCAAGACTCATGAAAAGTACTTCAGGAGACCTGGCTTACTGTGCTGACCTTTCATGGAGGAACAATTGATGAGTAAATTTCTGTTTAGTTTGTGATTTCTAGGTAATGTCATTCTAGAGAGCAATTTTAAAACATTTTAAGCTGCAGTTTACATAAAATCTACTGAAATCTGATTTATTTGGTTCTGACAACACCAACCTCCTGTACCCCACACAGTCACCGCATTAGCTCATAGGATGCGTGTTGTGTCTTTGTCTCTCTGTTGTGATTTCCCTTATTCTCTATTGGATGTCTATTTCTTTGGGAATACAGTGATACTCTTCGGTGCATATCATTTTATAAAATATATTACATATCTTGTCAAGAATGTGAAGATAGAAATTTTAGCTCCATGATCTTGTTCAGTTTAAAATTCCTCTTTTTTTTTGCTTTGAACTTATTTGAACAAAGTAATGAGAGGTGGATTAACTTCAAGAGATGACTCAAAATCAGTGTCTAACCTTTAAAAAATTAAACATTCACAGCTGTTCAAGGATATTGGTCTTTTTGTTAAACTTCTGACATTTTTTAGAAAATTTGAGAAATATCTCAGTGGCAGAGTGAAAAGCTGTTAAAATTTGTCCTTCAAATAGATACAAAGACATATTTTGCCTATATTTGCTACACTAAAATGTTACTTTTTTAAATGAAATTATGTTTTACATTTTATTTTTAATGGAAGTCCCCAAATTTTTATATAACTTTAATTTTGTTGGTGTATAACAGCAGAATTTTAAAGTATGGTTTGTCAGTCATTTTGAGCAACTTGTTTACAGAGGGGCTTTGGATAGAGGGTGGATGAATGGATGATGGACGGATGAAGGGATCGATCGATGGGTGGGCAGGTGGATGGATGATTGGATGGATGGATGAATAGGTAGGTAGAGTACACGGTGGCCATTCTGAAGATTCTGGATATATTTGTTTTCCCCAGGGTTCTCATTCTAATCAATTGCTACATGTTCTGTAATTTCAATAATTCTTACTTCATCTACACAAAATATCTAGAAACTTGTATGCAATTAATAGACTTCTTCATAAAATTGAAACAAGTACCCAAGTTTAAAGAATAGACTATCCCTGCTCAATTCTAGGGAATTGTAGAAACATGGTTTCTTTCCTTACAAAAAGTATATCAGTAGGGAGAAATAATTTAGTACTTTGCTTTTTGTATATAATTTTGGTATATGTTTTTGTCTTCTAAGTTTATTTAATCCAAGTGTGCACATTTTATGTTTTTAAGCATTGAATGTAGAAAAATATTTTAACTGCTGGAAGTGAAATGCTACAACTTCATAAAATTTTTTTTGTAGTTTAAATCATAATGATATGATGTGTCTATTACACTTGGAGCTTAGTTTAACTCCTGTCTGTGTTTTGTCAGATTTTCCCCCTGGTTCAGTCACTGTCAACATCCACTGTGATGAAATCCTCAAGGCCACAACAGAAATCAAATACTGTTCATCAGCAAAATCCAGAGAAAGTCCTTTTAGAATGTCAGAACCAGGCAAGAGTTTGTACCAGGTAAGCTGTTCTTTCTATGCAGCTAATCACACGAAATGCTAAAGGGCTAAGGCAGAAGAGAGGATTCTTGGTTTGGTGTGAGGTTTTATGGAGTGTGAATGGGCGCGTCACCCACAGAAAGGGAAGAAGTCACCCTCTGAGGGACAGAGACACAGACAAATTACTTTGCCACAGTCAAGTCAGTTCAGATAATGCCAACCAGAGACAGCTTGTCTATTACAACATGGCTAGCAGGACAGGCTCAATTCAAAGCTGTTATGGAGCAGTTAGATAATAGAGATTCAAAGAGCACCCCTGAGAAATGAATTTCTTTACTTAGATGTGAACAAGACAAAACAAAAGATCCCGTAAGACTATGTCAGACAAACCTAATTACCAATGAACAGGGGGACATGGGGTGAATCTTGCATCTACTTTCACGTGGACATTTTTAGAATATTCTTTGTCTCAGTTCTCACTGTTACATGACAATAAAAATAATTGAATCATCCATGTTCTTTAAGAATTTCTCCTGTGGTAAAAATCTTGCACGGGGATGGGGATTTCACAATGTATTGCCAGCCTCCTTAAAGAGCCCTTGTTTGGGACTTTTTCCTGTCAGTGCTGGGCATATGGAAGAATCTTAAGGGAACTTCAGGGAGTGTAAGGCATTAGTTTGGTTTCTGCAATTTTTTAAACTTGACCCACTGTTAATAGGAAGAAACCTTGCTTACTATGAAAACGTCTCACTTACGTATTTATTCATTGAGTTTCAGAATAAGATAAATATTTTGATGTGAACTAAAAATTATAAGTCTTCGTGTTATACAAAAAGTACAAAATACTTTCTGCTACTTGGCAATTAGAATTATAAACTTCATTTAATTGCCTTACTGGCAGAGAAGGGAGTGGTAGGAAAAGGAGAGTTGGTTCAGTAGAACAACATGATGTTCGTATTTACCATGAAAGGTCTTCCAGAAATGTAACAAAACTATCAATGATGGTAATGTTGACAGACCACCACAAACCTGGTGTGACTGGCCCTGGAGGCTTTACTTACTCTGTGTGACGCTTTCTTCTTTGGCATTCTTCTTTATGAGTGTCATATTTTAGAACAATGGGAAAAGCAAATATCTTAGAAAAGGATAGAGAGTGAAACACAATTTGTCAGCCTGGGAAGTCTGAGGACATCTGACAAAATGTCTGTATTGCAGTCGCAAAATAAGTGCAACATAATAGCTTGAAATACAGATTACTCAGTTTCTTGTGACAAGTCTACCTTGCGATCTACTAAAAATGTATCCATAACTAAAACTAAAGGGAATATGGAGTGTTCTCTGTCTACAGCTGGTATAGAAATAAAGTTGTCTCCAAATACATGTTTGAACTGGGTTTAATGCCAAGGGACACTTTGCATATAGTGCAAATTAAATGTATAGCTCCTGGATACAGTTTCAGAATAAAATAATGTGCAAGTCATGATTTCCTCTGTAGCTTGAAGTAAATGTGCAGATTTTAGGAGACTAGGAAAAAACCTCTCTTTATCTTTATCCTGTGTCTGAAAAGAGAGGTGAGAAGCACTATGGCTATGCCTTGGTGTTCCCTCTTTCCCAAGTCTGGGGATCTGGGAAGGGAAGGCGGATTAGATCCAGCCTCCTATCAGGGTCTGCTTGCATATTGAGTCTCCAGAGACAGAACCAATGTAACCTGTGAACAACAAACTTCTGGCTGGCAGAGACACTTTAGAGTTAGGGTTAATGTACCTAGATGGAGGAGTCATGTAGAGATTTTGCTGCTGACCTCAGAGCCCAAGAAGTATTGGGGGATTAAGGCAAGTGCACTGGGCTCTGGACAAGTACACTAAGTCAGAGGCCAGCCCAAGTGTTCCGTAAGGGGTTAGAAAGAATAGCCAGGCTTCAGCTCCTTTCTCCAGAGCATGCACTGCATGTGCACCGGGCTCTATCTCTACACGTATTATCTGCAAACTTAATGGCACACTGTAAAAGAGATCTTGCATTTGATGGAGGAGGAACTATAGAGACATCTCCTTAGTGCTTTTTAAGGCCCGTTGTGTACAAACTGCTTTTTGGAGTTCATATAGATCACTAGAGTGATTACTAATTTCTTATGATACTGTCACTAAACTCAATAATTTGTGTACTTTGCAAATGGCCCACTCAATACCTCTATTCAACATACATTGTAATCATAGTCACCACAATTATTGTTTATTTGTAAGAAAATGTACCAGCAAGCGTGAATGCACTCTGCCTGTTTGGCAGAAACGGCATCATACTGTGTAATCTGTCATGAGCTTCCCCACATGGTGCAATGACAGATATGATTTCAGTAACCCTGAAACTATTAACAAGATCCTTCTATAGCCACTTAAATGCTATTGGGTATATAATAGTGTAAACCCAGTGTGAATTTGAGGAAAGAATATTTAATGAGAAATTTGCGGGTTTTATTTTTCAGTTTTCCTAGAACTCAGAATAAGAGACTTTATACGTCATTTAAAAGCTATTGAACACATAGTAATATAACCATTCTGTGAATTTTAATAAAGAATTAATGAAAGAACCAATTTTGTTTTGCTTTAATGATGTCCATTAGGTTTTAGAACACTTAATGATGTACTTAAGTCACTCCATCATTCTTTCAGGGGTGATAAATACTAAAATCCCAGTACAAAGCCTAATAAAGGTTCATTACAATGCATCATTTAAAACAGAGAGCATGAGATATTCAAATAAAAAAAGACTAAACTTAGTTTGGTAGGATAATTAATATTCAAAAACTGTAGTTTGAAATACTTTAATTTATTTTTAACTGAGATAATTAAAACCTGTGAGACTTTTTTTTTCCTAACTACACGAGAGTCTTGGAGACAGCAACAATGTTAATTTTTTAAAGAATTATTAAGTAACGCATATAAGTGAAACTAGGTCAGATGCTGAAAGAATACAGTAATTATTGATCAAATATGATCATCCTGTTTTTAAAAGAATTTTAAAGTATTGCATTTATGCTTGTGTGTATATTTCTGTGTGGGTATCTGCCACATGTATGTGCGTGTCTGCATAGGCCAAAAGAAGGCATCCAATTCCATGGAGCTGGAGTTGTAGGCAACTCTGAGCTGCCCAATGTGGGTGCGCAGCACGCGTTCTTATCTGCTGAGCCATCCCTCTAACCCCACTTTAAAAATTCTTGAATTACAAGAAACAATTCATCTTAGCTACGCTTCTTTTAAGTAAAAGGCATCGTTGTGCTACATATCTTTATCACACTGTATATTTTACTTTACACACAGTAAATATTATTTTCATCTGCACATTAGGTATACTTAATTTCATGCTATGAAATTGCATGTGTTATCCAATCTGTGACTTTTTGCTTAAAACTATGTATTTAATAATACTTTTACTACTTTGTTGTGAATTTCATACAATATATTTTGATTGTGTTCACCTTTCCCCCTCAGCTTCTTCCAAATCACCTTCTTGCCATCTCACCCAACTTTGCATCTTTTTTCTCTATCTTTTTAGCCCTGTCTAGTTCAATCAGTGATACTCTTGTGTGGGGGACTTGCTCTGGGATCACACAACGAAAGAAAATTGCCTTTGCATCTCCCAGCAGCTACCAAACACCAATCGCACTGCAACAGGGGTAGGAGTTCATGTGCACACCTCACCCTAACACTGGGACTTGTCTGACTGGAGCATACATAAGCCTTGTGTATGCTGTTACAATCACTGTGCATTGCTGTGTAATCTGCCCCATTGTGCCTGAAAACACTGTTTCCTCGTGGTCTTTCTTCACCTCTGATTTTTACAATCTTTCTACCATCTCTTCTGTAAAGACGCCTGAGCCTTGAGGATGTGGATACAGACACCCTATTTGAGGCTGAATATAGTCTGTCATTCTCTGCACCTTGACAAGTAGGAGGTCTCTGTCTTAATTTTTATCTACTTCAAGAAGTTTCTTTGACAAGGGCTGAGAGAGGCACTCTTTAAGGACAGCAGTAAACCCTTGGGGTTTGTTTTACTATACTATGTCTATTTAGCAAATATTTAATACACTGAGACATTGTTACAAATTGGTTAAAAATATTTCTCCAGTCATGAGCCAATGGTACAAACTAGTTGATGTCAAGACTGGAAACTTCAGAAGGCATGAGTTTGCTGGAAAGATTAGGTCTTTGAGATGTGCTTTGTAAGGGCAAATCTCTTTCCTTAGATCCTGTTTTTCTCTCTCTCCCCCAGCTTCCCAACTGTGAAGGGGAGCAATTTACTTCAGCCATACACTTCTTTTTTTTTTCGAGACAGGGTTCTCTGTGGCTTTGGAAGCTGTCCTGGAACTCACTTTGTAGACCAGGCTGGCCTCGAACTCACAGAGATCTGCCTGCCTCTGCCTCCCGAGTGCTGGAATTAAAGGCGTGTGCCACCAACGCCCGGCTTCAGCCATACACTTCTTGCATGGTGGTTCTGCCTTAGTGCAGGCCTAAAAAAAACGGTAAAGCCAGCTGACCAAGAACTGAAACCTCAGGAAATGTGAGCCAACATCAACTTTTCCTCCCCTGTCATTTCTCTCAAGCATTTTGTTTCAGTGATGGAAACCTTGACAATATGAAAGTCAGTGGGGTTGGAGTGAGGAAGGGTTCTAGCTCAAAACCTAATACTGGGAATTTGTCCCAGTGAGCTACTGTATCCTAATAGTTTCCTCGAAGGGTAACCTTTTAACCCAGTTAAGTTGTGGGAACTGTTTCCTTTGAAGATTGTCTTCGAGAGGTGCTGGGAACCCCATTCTCTTTCTAGTAATTTTCTAAATTTTCCATTAGACTCTTGTCTGTCTCAGCATATTAACCTTCCTATTTTCAACAGCCCCATTTGATGCAAGATGCACATGCAGGAAGCAGTACCAATGTCATCCAGCATGCTTGCATGCAGGGAGCAGCACGTGTGTTGTCCAGAGTGCTCGCATGCAGGGAGCAGCACCTGAGCAGCACCAGTGTTGATCAGAGTGCTCACTCACATGTAGGGAGCAGCACGTGTGTTGTCCAGAGTTCTCGCATGCAGGGAGCAGCACCAGTGTTGTTCAGAGTGCTCGCATGCAGTCTATTTCTAATGTCTCACAGGATGTTCATACTCATTTCAATGCATATGATACAAAGTCCCAAATCTTTTCCAGAACCATCTCTTATCAGAGCATTCCTTTGTGTTTCTTCATTGTATGATCCTTTATCTCCTGTATTCTTTTTGGTTGCTCTGTGAACTCACTCATCCCATGCAAAACTGCAGCGCTACTCTTCCTGCCACCCAAGAAACTTGATTAAAGGATGGCCTATGTTTTTCAACTTTGTGAAACCAATGTCTTTCACACAGTTATATCCTTGTATGTGGGGCACAACTAATATTTCTACTTCAGAATGGTGAGGAAAACTCGGGCAGTACCTTCCTCTCTGATACTATTTGAATAACAGTGAAAAAAAGTATAGACCAAGTATGCAAACAAGGTAGTAAGAGAAGTGAAACTACCCCCTGAAATATACATTGTGGTTTACATGTGAAATGATCTGCTTATACAATCATGAACTCTCTGAAGTGTATTATACCAGGCAGGCAGAGAATTGTGCTGCAATTCATCTTTCTTTTACTACAGTAGTGGACCTTGAGTTGGTACGCTTTGATGTTGACTTATAAAAGTTGTCTTAACTTTCCTGTGGATATTAAGGAAATGTTGTTATGAAAAAAAAATGCCTGAGCTCTTTTCTGAGAGGCTGCATATTATTATCTTTCTTTTCTGGAAGGTAGCAATGTGGCAGAGGAGAAATTTGGATAGGTCATGGGTAGAAATTATAGTTTCTTATTAAAAATACAACCGCTGAAATCACAGGAAATTCACATGCGTTTCTTTCATGCTGAAGGATTTATTTTTTCAGGTGTCAAATGAAAAATCTAGAACTCTTGCTGTCTGTGCTTTCCTCGAATTCAAATATCCAATAAGTTTATTCAGAGATGGAATGTTAGATTATAACACTTCTCTTTTCAAGAGGTTTGATCTTCAAATATGTGTTCCATGTCTTCTTTTAAAATTAAAATGTAATAATTCTGTACAGTGACTTGCCACAGTATGATATTCCAACGCGTGCCTATTGAAAACTGATAAAATTCAGGTGATTGGTAACCACTCCTCAGCATTTCTCATTTGTACACTACAGGCTCCTCCCCTCATGTCCTTCACATGGTATGTGGTAGGTTATGGTCAGCTGTGGCCACTTCAGTGTGCTCTGGATACTGGAACTTATCTCCAGTCTGTGTTTTTGTGTACCCACTAATCAGCCTACTGTGGCTGCCACCTTCACAGTTTTCTTCCTCTGCAAGTCACTATTCTATATCCACATGGCCACTCGGATGAATATTGCATTTCCTCCTTTGCAGCCAGCAAATAGACATATGTCTAAGTTATACCCAGTGACATGGCATGTCTGTGACAGACACATGCAAATCTGGAAGCACTCACAGCAGATAGTCATGCTTTCCTGGCACTGTCTTTTCTATTGATGTCTGAAAGGCCAACATGGGAGCAACAGACAAGAACTGAAAAGACAATGGGAAGCAGTTAAAACCCTAGTGCGAGCATAGATCCCCAGTCACAGGGAGCCACTACATCAGCCCTGGGTTGCAGAATTGCTGTTTTCTGAGTTTAAAAGGCACAGGACTCTTTTATGCCACTGTCCCTCTGAGCCTCTCTTTTACAGTCGCAAAATTTCATTCTAAATAATTCAAAAGCTATGTGCTTTCAGTTTAGAATTTCAGATGTGAATAACAGACTGATGCGTTTGTTCCAGCAGACGAAACCCGGGCATGGAAGGCTGAGTTTCCACATGGAGTTCTGTACAAACTTCTGTCTAGGTTGGGATGATGTCATTTCATTGACACCTAGGAACTCCATCAGAAAATGTAGAGAAAAGCAAATCATAGTTACTGGTATTTCACCTAGTTACTAATGTTCTCATATGATGCTATCAGTTACTTATTACTGAGACTCACAAAAAAGACCTGGATCTGGATTTCAAAACATTCTTTTCCCTACCATGTTATTTGCAAGTCAGTCAAGGGGACTCTATGACCACACACATATATAATCAGCAACAAATACAAGGTAGTTTAAAGTCTTACATTTCCTTGAGTTTTAATGTTTGCTTCAGTATTCATGGTCACAATGTTGAGAAATATTCATTCAAAAATTAGAAAAATTAAGTTGACTAGGGAAAATATATTGATTTACTAAAGATGTATCCTTTTAAATTAACTTAATAATTCTTGTAAGTGGAGAGAGAGAGAGAGAGAGAGAGACAGAGACAGAGAGAGACAGAGAGAGAGACAGAGAGACAGAGAAACAGAGACAGAGAGAGAGAGAGTGAGACTGAAACTTTGCCTACCCTCTAAAGCAGTGAGCTCTCAACCTTCCCAATACTGCAACACTTTAATACAGTTCTTCATGTCTGTGGTGACCCCTAACTACAAAATTAGTTTTGTTGCTACTTCATAACTGTAATTTTGCTACTGTTATGAATTGTACTGTAAATACCTGTGTTTTCTGGTGGTCTTAGAAGACCCCTATTAAAGGGTAGCTCCACCATCAAAGGGGTTGCCACCCACAGGTTAGGAACTGCTGCTCAGAAACATTTTTTTTACTTGTGTACTTACCTGCTTCACTATAAGCTACAGCAGGAAATTATAAAATATGTGATACAAACTATTTATCAAATTCCTCTTTAAGTGGTTGCCCTGGCTTACTTTCCTGTCCCTTCTCATGAACAGTGGGACAAAGGAGGTGGCTTTATTTTCTTTCCCTCAGTTATTTAAGCACAGAGCATGGTTCTGCACACCACAGACTGTGTTCAGTCTAAATGTTGACTTTCCCTACAGGTATCTAAATATGATGACAATTCAACTTCACATAGAAAGTGGGTTTACCTCCCATTGAGACCAAAGCACACCACACCTGTTTTTCCTTTGTTAATCAGGATTCTGTTGTATTTCCCGTACATGTGTATAGTGAAATATGATCATATGTATCCTCCATTTCCATCTGCAATTCTCTTGTCCCCCCAATATGTCTCACTCATAGTTTCATGTCTTTCTATTTTATAACACACTAGGTTCAGTTAATGCTGCCTATGTATGTATGGGTATGGGGTCATTTACTAGAACATGAGTATCTTATCAGCTAATTTTCAATATTCTTTCCATTTAAAAACAGAAAAGCATTGAAGAGCTTGATGGTGTTCTTGCTTCTATATTCAAGCATGAGATACCATATTATGAATTCAAACCTCTCCAAACTGAAACTTACCCTCAAAAAGAATGTAAGTATTTTTCAATAGTATTATTTATTTATTACATTCTAATCTCTGTGCCTCTTTAAGAAATTACATTGTCAAGAAACAGATTATTGTTTTACATAACTCCTAACTCTTAAAGACATATTATATAGAATAAACATTCAAGTGTATTTTATTGGTGTATGAGTATGTGTGTGTGTGATGTATATTGTGAGTGTGAACACACATGCAGGAGGCACATGACAACTTTCATTTTTCTCTGTCTACCCTTATGATGGTCACGGAGACTGAACTCAGATCGGGAGGTTTGCCCAGCAAGTACTTTACCCACTGATTCATCGCGTCAACTCCAATAGTATAAATATTTTTGTGTCCATGTACTTAACTCTTTCAATTACAGGCAGTAAACTGTATGTAGTTTCTAAAGTTAGTGGCCTTACCTCATGAATTTTACTCTACAGATATGTTTGAATAACGATGTTTATGATAAATACTATTTGTCACATCATTGTGTGTTATTACCTCCTTCAGCAAATCCTACCAGCGTGGGACACCACAACCAGCAGTGTATTATTACCAAAACTGAATAACAATATTCTAATGATCAATGGTTATGTAAATTTTAACACAGATATTAATACAAGCATCAAAATTAATTTTCTCAGGATTTCTTGATGACTTGCTATTTTGGTGTTGAATATAGCACACACACATATTAGTATGTAAATTGTTGGTCTCAGCTAGTGTTTGTAGTAGTTATGTGTGGATTATATAACTTAAGTAATTGTGTTTTTAAAATTTTTACAAAATGGGCATTTCCTTGTGTAAAAAAATCTGCTAAATTCATTTATTTGTATATATGTGTGGGTACAGACTTATGTAGGAGATCAGAGGATAACTTGTGAGAGCCAGTTCTCTCCTCCCATTTTGGATTTCGTGGAAGTCACTGAGATCATGAAACTTGGCTCCTTGTACAGTGGCATTACTTTCTGAGCCACCGCATTGATCTCTGAATGGATGTTTTTTCAGTTATTATTTGTATGGTATAAAGTATATAAAGGAAAAACACATGTAAGAGCTACTGATAACAGTTATATAGTCAGATGATACTGTGAGCTCATGGTCTATTTTAGAATTATTTTTGTTTCTGCACAGTTTATTGAAGGAATGCTTATAGTTCACTTGGCATGCAGCATTTATAAACACTGAGATATGATGGTGAATGAGTCAGGCTCAGGACTAAGGAATATGATAAATCGAGTGTTTGCATATTAGCACTTAGAGGTCAAAGAATTCTCTGGCTGGTTTCTATGTTAGTTAAGTAGACTCATTATGAGCCTTTCGAGCTTTAAGGGAGCAGCAAAACAATTATGAACCCCGCTGATTGTGTGGCAGCTGCATGTGTAAGGGTCCATCACAGGGAAGCTCCAGAGACAGGCCGTCTTTTAAGAAGGAAGATAGTTAGATCAGTGGGAAAAATTTTAACTGTATTATCCACTTACAAAATAAGGTGCCAAATTAGGACTGAAAAGGAACATAACTTGATTTTTTAAAAATTCAAGATACTTATAATTGAATTGTGGAAACAAGATAATATGCAGTTGATGTCTAAACAATGTGACACTGTTGGCTTATGGAGTCATCAGAAAAGCATGCATGAACTTTCACTGCTTTAGAGGTTAGGACTTTAGATATCAAATGATGAATCCCAGTGAAGAGAAAAGAGCAACTAACTCTAGATAAGTGAAAGCATACACAAAATTACGAGGATGGATTTGGAATATGCTCTTTATAAGCTTTTTCAGCATTATATTTGCATAGGTTTATGAAATTAGAAGTGTACAGTTGGAGAGTACAAATGGTTTAGGTCTCACAGTTTTGTAGAATTCCAGATAAATTTAAAAGAATGAGACTTTTGGAATTCATATGGACCTGGAATGCTCCTCAAAAGCTCCTGGTTAAAGGCTTAGTTCCCAAATTGCTGATGTTGAGAGACATCTTTGAAGTCCAGGCCTACTGTGGGGTTTTAGGTCACATGATGCAGCCTTCAGGGAGCCTCAGTTGGAATGTAGAATCCCAGCCCTCCCCTTTCTCTTTAAAATCATGGTCAAAACAAACCTTTCTTCTTTCTAAGTTATTGAAGGCATTTCATCCATAAAGAAAAGTTGATTAATGGAGGAAGGATGCAATAGCATTGGTCCCATATTTTCATGGATAATGAATCCTACCCTTTGGATCTGTGGCTCTGATGCAGGATTATTGAAGTATATATTAAATATTTTTCTGATAATCACATGGAAAGATGGTGCTGATGACCCTCAGCCTCACTTGAGTGTCAAGGGCTGCATATTTTAGTCACCCATAAAACTTTTGTGATACAACAGGCCTAAGTCATGCTCAGCACAAATTAGTGGGGACACAGGGCATCATCAATGGTTATGTTTCCAGGTGATCCCCATGGACAGACATGTTTACCAGCCTTTAATTGTTTAAAAACAGACCATCAAAATAATTTATCCTCACACTGGATCTTGACACAGAAAAAATATTAGTCTGTCTTTATAAAAGTTAGAAAAATGGTATCAAATACATATTGTGAATCACTATAAGAATTTTATGAGAATTATTTAATTAACAAAACTTTAAATAAAGTGATATTTTTGTCTTTTTTGATTGCATATTTTTTATTTTTATAGAAAATTACATATCCGTCCCCCATTCCCTTGCCCTCCCATCCTTCCATGCTTCCCACCACCCACTCCCCAGGGATAGTGAGACCCTCCACAGAGGATCATCAATGTACATCACATCATTGGAGTGTGGCCCTCCTTTCTGTATCTGTGCTGCAATAGTATCCTCCCATTGGGAATGGGTTCCCAAAGTCCATTTGTGGCCTAGGAATAAACCCTGGCTCCACTATTAGAGGTTCCACATACTGTCTTGGCCTCATACCTGGAACCCATATTCAGAGGGCTTGGTTTGGTCCAATGCTGGTTCCCCCGCTTTACAACTAGGGTCTGTGTGCTCTCATTAGGTCAGGTCAACTGTTTCTGCGGGTATCTCCAGCTCCGTCTTGGTTCATTTAGTCTTCTCTCCTCCCTTTCTGCAACTGCTATGAACATATATCCTTGTTGTATGAATGTGCATTCTTTGGTTATATGCCCAGGGGAGAAATTGCTAGATCTTGAGGTAGACTATCTCCCATTTTCCTGAGAAACTGCCATACTGATTTCCAGAGTAGCTGTACAAATTGGCACTCTCACCAGCAGTGGAGGAGTGTTCCTCTTTCTCTACATCTGTTCCAGCATAGACTGTCATTGGTGTTTTTGATTTTAGCCATTCCAGCGGGTGTAAGATGGTAGGTATCTCAGAGTTGTTTTAAGTTGCATTTCCCTGATGGCTAAGCATGTTGAGCACTTTCTTAAGTGTCTTTTAGCCATTATAGATTCCTCTATTGAAAATTCTCTATTGAGTTTTGCACCCCAATTTTTAATTGGATCGTTTGGTGTTTTGGTGACTAGCTTCTTGAGTTCATTGTATGTTTTGGAAATCAGCCCTCAGTAAGATGTGGGGTTGGAGAAGATCTTTTCCCATTCTGTCAGCTGCTGTTTTGTTGACTGTCTCCTTTGCCTTACAGAAGCTTCTCAGTTTTAGGAGATCCCATTTATTAATTGTCGATCTCAATTTCTGTGCTACTGGTGTTATGTTCAGGACAGTTTTAGCTTCTTTTTTAAAGCTAAAAACAGAAGATAAACAACTACATAATTTTTTGTTTGTTTTTTGAAATGGATTTCTAATTTTCTCTGTAAACTTTGTTGTCCTCAAACTCGAAGAGATCCATCTGCTTCTGCCCCCCAAGTGCTGGGATTCAATGTCTGTGTCATCCCCACCTGGCGCAATTACATAGTTCATCCATCTTTGTTGCTGAGTATTGCCTGGAAAATCAGATACTATTAAACCTATGACATAACAATTTCCATTTGAAATACAAAAGAACATAATGCAATAAACACAGTAAAAAACAAAGATAGAGGTGACCATGATTCAGTTCAAGTGTTCCTGAGTTTATATCAACTTGATAAACACTAGAATCACCTGGGAAGAAGGAATCTCAGTTAAGAAACTGCCTCCATCAGCTTAGCCTGTGGGCAAGTTAATGACACCTTTTCTAGATTCATGTTTGATATGGGAGGGAATCATAGTGGGTGGTGCCACCTGGGTAGATGGTCCTTGCTTGTATAAAAGCCAAGCTGTACGAGTGTGTCCTGATGAACAAACCTGCAAGAAGCATTCCTCCATGGTCTCTGCTTCAGTTCCAGCCTTGAGTTTACAGCTTATTTCCATTGATGGCGGACTATGAACTATAAGCTAAAATAAACCCTTTCCTACTAAACTGTTTTGAGCCGTGGTATTTAACAACAGAAACACCTTACCTTCCTGTCCTTAATGTTCTATTTCAGTGTTGCATCATGTTCATGCTGAATTGATGATAAGGTTTGAGATGTCCTTGTTTAGATAGAAAATCATCTTAAGAATATGAAGGGAAAACCATTATGTTCTTGAGTAAAACACTAGACATATTTGAACATTGGTGTAGCCGGTTTAACTCCTGAGTGTTTCTCAGAGCAGATCTATAAATTATTGCCTAAATGTTTCATTGTTAAACATATATTGCTTGTTTCTATATATTTTAGCTTAAATAAATAGAAAGTTAGGACATTGTGAGGAGAATGTACCCATTTGAAACTAAAAATGTGTTCAATACTGATATTCTTACAATGAGTCATAGACATCTGTGTTTATTTAAAAGCAAATGCTATATTAATGAAGACTTTATTTTATTATTGTCTCACCCAGTCTTCTTTTTAAAGGGTATTTAGGAAATTCTAGGTTCAGTTCCCTGACTCTTCTTTGAAGTACTATTCTAAGCCAGTCTTAGTCATTTCACCCTTGTCTAGACAACAAACTTCCTCATTTGGCATTTATTTTTATGTTTTACTCTCAGCCAACAAAGTAGGGGGTGG